GTGTAGGCGGTGTGCGCGGTGCGGTACCACTGGCAGACGGTGTTGCCGGGCTCGGTCTCGCAGCCCTGCGAGACGGCGGCGGACCAAGAGACGGAGACGGAGAAGCCGCCGGTAATCCACTCGCTGATGCTGCCGCCTGTCTCGACGCTCCAGCCGACGGAGACGGACTTGGAGGTCTCGGTGCCGGTGGAGCAGGTTGCTAGGCCGCACTCGTTGTTTTCCTGTGTCTTGTTAGTATGTGCTCATGAGGATTTGAGGGTGCGGGGATGGCATACGGTGATTTGGGAGTGGTAGTAGTTCTGGTGCGGGTTGCCGTCCCCAACCAGCTCAGTCCACTTCTGAGGGTAGCACCCTTGCCTCTTTCCGATTTCCCGCTTGTCGGAGTTGGTATCCGTCTCGCCCGAGGTGAGGAACGGAATCGGCGCAATATACCGCGCCTGCAAGTCCTGCTCCGGGTTCCGAATACGCAACGCCCTCGCCATCGTAGTCTCACCATCGGGGATACACTCATGGCGCCTGCTCAAGCTCTGGAACGCCATCCCAGCCGGCACCGCGATGTCGCACGAGACCACGGACTCGCCGTCGTCGAACAGCCGCCCGCAGACGATACCCCCGGAGATCTCCTTCTTCTCGTGGATCTTGTACATCGTGGACCCGACTGAGACGGTGCCGGCGCCGGTGCGGTCAACGGCGAACATGATCGGGAGCGCGGCGAAGGAGCCTGTGTCCAGGGTGTTAGAGCACGCCTCCGCGACAACGGTGCCGCCTGAGAAGACCTCGACGGAGGTTGCGGTGTCGCATTCTTGGTAGACTACTTGTACTTGCTGTAGCTGTGTCTCGTCGCGGCGGCTGAGGGCAGGAGCGGCGAGGGCGGAGGAGAGGAGGGACGCGGTGGTCAGGATTGCGGAGAAGCACTTCATCTTGATGGAGTGATTGCGGAAGAGATGAGTGCTGAGGAGATGAGAAGTGAGGGTAAGAGGGAGTAGTTGATATGAAGATAGTTGTGTTGATTGGGTTTGAGTAAAGGTGATGATGTTTGATGTGATGAGCTTGTGAGTGATGATGAGATTGATCTAATGGCAGATGGTGTTTATTTATGTCCTTAAGTCTCGATATGTCTGAACAGAGGTCAGAAGCATCAATGCAGTTATTCGCAAGTTCTCTGGGCAACTCGCCCAGCTACTGAGGCCGTGTAACTACGCCTCCTTCCACCTCGAACATTTCGGGCACAGTTTCGACGAGTCCACAAGGCGAAACATCTCACGATGCATGGTTTGATCAAGATTGAGTCGAATTTTAGGTGTATCTCATCCGACATGTCCACCTGATTGAGGCTAAAGCTGAGTTCGTTCTTGTTGGATCCCCTAAGCTTGTGGATAACGACGTGAGGTGCCGCATAAGCCCTGGCACGCAGGATCAGATTCTCGTGTCAGTATTTGGGAGCCACGGCTTGGCATTTCGTGATATTCCAGGGTTTGATCGATGATTCTTCAAGTTCTGATGCTCCGATACTGCTTGTTAGCGGTTGGTGCCGCGATGAGATGCCTCAACTCTGCCTTCCCACGATAGCCGAGGTCGAGTTCGCCCTCCGTCAGCCCCCAAGCTGCTATAATGCGGCGGGAGCTACTATTTTCAGGTCTTCCTCGATGGGGCCTGGGGGAACCATGCCTTTTGCATTTGAGGCTTAGATATGGCTCTGATTACCCCAGAATTTCTGTAGCAATGGCGCCAGCTGCTGGCTTCAGTCTTCCCCAGGCATGTGCTAACCCCTGTCTCTAACCTCCAACAGTCACATAGTCACCACGTTGGTTCGAAAGGTCCCCCTGCCCTCAAATCCTGGGGCTGAGGCTTGGCTCTTGTTGGAACCCGAATGTCTACAGCTAAAACGTTGGTTCACAGCTTCCAACAACGCCTACGTGGCTGGGCACAACCCCTGTATCTCGTTGGCCCCCAGATTTTCTGAAGGCGCAGTCACCAACAGATTTCGGTTATGGCTACACCGAGGCCAGTTCCAAACCGAATTTCAGCCAATCAGATGATACCAAGACTTTGCAATTTTTTACCGTGCCAATCAATTAGCCAAGTACGCGCCGTTCACGATGCAAATTCATGGGGTCAGGGTGTTGTTGTTCTGGGGTGGCAGTGACAAGCAACAACTCACCTCGCCAAATTGAGAGAGCTGCAAAATAATAGCTGTTGGCAATTGAGGCACGTATAAAAAGAAGTCGACTGCCTTCTTAATTCCGGCAGACCCGCAATCCTTTCTCAAGTTCCAAACGTTTTTCAAATTCATTCACTCCCGCCATCGCGTTGTCGACCGCTCAACTCCACTCTATCCCTTCACCGCCTGCGAAACACCATCGCCATGTCCGTAACCACCACAGCGACAGCGCCCTCATCCTGTCCGACAAACGAGATCCCCGAGGGCTTGCCAATCCCGAACAATGTCACATACGCCGTCATCCCGGGACACAACGCCTCAGACCCGTGGATGGTCAACTGCTGCTCTCCCAACCCAGTCCATCTCGTGAACGACTGTTGGGAGTGGTGCGAGGTTCCCGAAGCAACCAAGAAGAACAGGGACGACGCACAAATTGTCTCCGTCTTCGGCAGTTGCTTGCGCGCCGAGGGACGAAACTCGACCGAGTCGAACGGGGTCCAAGTCCGCTCTGCATCCTCGTATCGTCCAGTCCCCTTTGCAGGACTGCTGTTAGCAGCGCTCGCGGCGTGCACATTGGGTCTTGTGGTTTGAGCTCCGTTGAGATGAATGCGGATGTCTGGAGGAGGGGATTAGGCGTGGAGGAGGGGGCTGCTTGACAGAAATGGTGTTGCGACAAGCGAGAGTTCTGTTTACATTGCACCCAGCACGGAGTTCCGGAGATCGCAAACGTGAGTTTCTTCAGTGCAAAAGACACAGCCTGTTGAATGTCAACACGCTCACACTCAATGCTTCAATAGGCTTATTCAAGGAACCGTCAACGCCAGTTTTGGGATACGCATCGTAGATGCATATCAGGGGCCGACCACCTGTCACGAGTGATAGTTCACAAGAAGGGCATTGGTACAGATTTACTATGCCTTTGCTTTTCAAAGAAGTCGCCGTCGTCATGACCCATTATGAAAACTTTCCGGACAATACGCGACAAATGAAAAGCTTCATTTCGGTTGTTTTATATTCTTGTTATCAGCAAGCTTGCTCCTGTACACTGAAGGCGCATAATCACATTTACACTGTCTTGCTTGATCATGCGGCTATCGATGCTGATCACCTATAGTTAACAGAAATGAGACATGGAATCAACTCGGGCTGATGGTGTCACAGGTACTCCTGGAAATAATATGCTCACGCTATCTCTTATTAAACACACGTTTTCGTTGACTTTAAAGCTAGTGGTTTCGAGTGATTGGATGGCTGTGCTGAATTCTGACGACCTTCATTGTAAAAAGAGGTTGTGACACCCCCGGTTTTCCTCGGTCTCCTTCACCATTGGATCTTTATGCTGGCTTCTTCAATGATGCAGTCCGAGTGTTTGGTGACTTATGCCATCTTATATTCAGATGAGAGTTCTACTTCATCATGCTTAGGAGCCTACAATACATGATGTAACCCGGCATAGTCGTAAATCTAGGCCAATATTGCATTCTGACATTCCACCCGGTAGGATACCGATCCGTTTGTTAATTTAAATGTCACTTGATATTTCCCGCGCAATGAAATCAAAACTGAGAGCATATTGATGGAAAGCAACTGGATTTGAGTATATAAACTTGGAAGATAAATGCCAGAGCTTTCTTTGGTGGTCTTTCAGTGCACCATAAAAACACACTTGTCAATCTTTGGCAATTCTCGTGTCTTCTAACTAAGTTGCTTTGCCAGGGTCAGCTACTAACTCACGTATTCGAGATGACTATATCGGCTGATGAGCTATTAGATTATATGGTCGATTGAATGAAAAACTATGTCCAAGATTTATCACTTGCACTCTGGCACAGTGGTAATTATGGTACCTACCCATTGAGCTCACGTGGATGAAGCCAGAACCAGACGGCATTCATTTTCATCATGGCAGGCCGGACCATCCATTCTTGAGACAAAGTTTGAATCCAGTCGACATCTACTGACCATGGACAGCTTTTGATGTCAGTAATAAGTCTATTTCTCGTTCGACAGTTTGGCACCAATATTCAATGAGGGACAGAGAGTTTCTCGAAGTCAATTTTGAAGCAATAATTTGATTGCTTCAAATCAACCGTAATGAGCCATTTATCCTGACGTGCCATAGAGTCGCCGATTGTTACGCCGCATCTCTCCAGATATAACTCAATCATTGTGTAACTGCAGTCGGGGACCCCGAGATTCTGTCTAGGTAGCACCCACAGCAAATGCAATATCACTGCTTTGGCAAGCGCCCGCTGGAACCCATTCACCTCTGCTACAAGGAAAAAGTAATATGATTATATGATTCAGCAAAGTATCTCTTCCCTACGCGAAGATTTATCGTACTCTCCATCAGAGAATCAAGATGCCTGCCGGTTACAGACACGGGTGACGGAGCTGAGTTGGTGCCATTGAGCCGACAAGGATCCCGCATACTGGACTTTTCACATGAACCACAAAAAAGACGTTTCCAACGTTTTCCCCTGACAAGAGGACATTTGTGGGGTCTGGCACTGCTCGATGTGGTAACACCGATCCGAAACAGTTCATCGTGCCATGACAGAAATTCTGCGACGGAAGATCGGGGAACGTCTTTTGAAGCAGGCATCCCCCAGCTCGCCGGCCTCCCGCGCTTTACACGATTCACGTACCGTTCACTGAGCAGGATATGTGCATCGTGCCTGCCGACAAAAATCACGTCGTAAGTAAAAGCTGTTGGCAAGGTTGCATTACTCATTTGGATTATATTATTGTCGTTATTTAGATCCTCGAGGCGCCCGTCGCTATCATAACGCTAACATTCTCTCGCAACATCCCGCTTTCTCACAACATCGCCTGCACTTTAGTTGCCGGGGTACCACCTGCTGAGGATGGAGGTCACGTTTGAAGGGCGAGAGAGGTGAGCGCAGTGGCCGCTGGGCTCAGACTCGGTCTTGGAGCCGGCAGGGAGGACGGCAGACATGCCCTGCTGGTAGCTGAGGGGCAGGGCGTTGTCGAGGGTGGCGTAAAGGTACGCGCAGTCGATGCCGTTGCTCCAGGGCTCGTAGGAGGAGGCGTTGGTGAAGGCACCCAGGGCAGTCCAGGTCATCTGGGAAGCCCACTTCTCCTGCTCAGAGGCGGGGAGATCGTTGAAGCCAACCTCGGGCAGCATGGTGGCGTTGCCGACGACACGGTCACCCTGTTTTGCAATTAGTTTCACGGTCACTTTTCAGCCAAAGGTTTGAAGGGGGCTACATACCTCAACAACCATCCAAGGAAGGGGGGTGCCGCCGAGGAGGTCGAGCAAGCTGGAGCCCTTGGGAAGCATGAAGGCGCTGGCGTAGACGATGCTCACGACACCACCAGTGCTGCCGGCGGCAGTGCGGGTGGCGACGTCGTAGCCCTCGACGGCGTTGCTGGCAACAACACCGCCGTAGGAGTGGGAGTAGATGACAACCTCCTTGCCATCGCTAACAAGCTTATCGAGCTCAGTGCGCACGGCCGCAACATCGTCGGAGAGAGAGGCGAGCGGGGTGGTGGTGCCGCCGACGGTGGGGAGGGCAACGATGGAGGTGTTGAAGTCGGCGCTGGCCAGCTCCGTGGCGAAGGGCTGGAAGGCAGAGGGGAGCTGCCAAGCACCAGGGACGATGAGAACTGAGGGCTTCATTTTTTCAGATGAAACTGGGGATGAGGGCCACGGAGGGGTTGGATCTTGTTTCTGCTGCAGGTAGATTGACTAAGAGGAGCGTGCAGAGTGATGGGCAAGGAAGCGACTGAGACTTGAGAATGAGCGGACGGCCTGCCTGAGAAAAAGAAACAAGCAGATGATCAACGCGGCAGAGGCTTTCTAAAATACAAAGTTGTAAAGCTACGATGCATGAATGTCGGTCCTCAGCAAGCAATATCCCCGAAATGACAGCGGCGATGAACGACGCTTGACAGCGGGATCGTCTCCAGTCCAACGGCCGGACATTGCGCAGTGTCCATGTCCCTTGTGGTTTTTGACGTCTCCGCAATGTTAGCGATGTTGGTGCGCAGCAGCTGCAGCACACGAGTGTACGCGGTCTTTCGATATATCCACAAACGGGCCAACGTTGGCGGTGGGTTTATTGCTCCATTTGTGTATGAAAAAGGGGGCACATCGAAACGGCGCAGGTACCCGAATCGGACACACCTGATTGGCGGACACAAAGTCCGTGGGGGCTGTCAACAAGACTGACAGTTTATGCAGGTTTGTGGCGTATGCAACGCAACCCTCCAACTCATAACTCAAGCCTTCTCGCTAAGTAGCTTCGAAGAATTCCCCGAAGAGTCTCTTGCATCTCTGCAACCTCGGCAGTCAGAAAGGAATTGTTCGACCATTTCTTCTTTATGTGATCAAAAATCCTTCCGAGGAGAACGAGGACTTCGTATGTTTATCCCCCGGGAATATGACGATAATGACGCACAGTCAGAAATCTGAGATCCACCACCAACGCGCCGCAGCACATCGCAGGGTTGATGACTCGGAAATGGACCCCAGCCGCGATTTCAAAGACCACCGGCTTCTCTTCCGGCAACTCGCGGGCAACGCAGAGGCCAATTGCCGCTGATGATCTGTCGACATCGGTGGCCCCATTCGTTCCATCAATGGGATGGCAGGCGGGGCTCTTGGGTTCCTGTAGCGGCGGGTCTTGATGGGGCCTCTAGACTAACGCTTTGCTCCGGTTACCCAGATCCAAAGGTCTTCCCCTAGACGAAACGAGCCTCAAGGAGAGCCGTGCGCCGGGACGTTCGATCCATTTCGAGAGTCAATCGGATGGTGTTGACGGAGAAGACGGCTCTTTTCAGTGCGGCCGACCTCCTGTGGATATATCGCGGGAGAAACTAAGTCTAATATCTCTTCTTACGACATTCCCCTTGGCGAAGAACCCACAACAGTGGTGAACCCTTGTGGATGCCGTTCCTCAAAACTGATCAAATGTGACAAAGCAGGCAACTGTTCGGGGTTTGACCGGGACTCTTGCCCCCTTTTCCGTTTCCTGTTCCAGTGCAACGGTCCACATGTTCCTTTCTTTTTATTCCACCAGCCGAGGTCGTATCTGGATGGAGTTGATGGGGTGTCACTTGCAGTTGTCAAACATGACAGGCCGAAAGAGAAAAGATTGACAGTTTAGGAATGCTACCATGGTTCGGTCGAGAAACAGGTCGTCGGCGGAACCGCGGCATCCACCAGCACGTGTTTTGCAGTGTCTTGGTGCTGAAGCGAGACAATGAGTGAGATAGACGTAGGGCACAGGAAAGGAACTCCCCCCAAGACTTGTCGTGGGAAGGTTTGTTAAAATGATTCTCCTTCCCCACGTGGTTCGTATCATAGACGGCCCCCCGTGAACCGTCTGCTCGGTGATGAACCCCTCTCTTTCGACGAACTGACAGTCCCGGAGAACATCGCTGTTCGAACGAGAGCCTGTGTGGCCACCAAGCCACCAGCAGCCACAGCCAAGCATGGCGGCCTTCTACCCGTACAATGACACCAGTCTCGACCAAGGCGAGAGGGACTACCTGAAGAAGCTGGCCGACTTCGCCGAGGATCAGAACCTGGACGACGACTTGAGAGGATATGTTCGGGGTATTACGATCGCCTTTACGGCATTCGCCGCCTTCATCGTTGGCTTGAGGTTCCTGGCGCGTCACCTCCAGGCCGCGAAATATCTGATCGACGATTACTTGATGCTGTTCGCTTTGGTCTTGCTGATTGGGAATATGGCCATGAACCTGCTTCGTAAGTTGGAGATTCGCAACCTAAACATCAATGAGAGACCACTAACACAAAGGCTGCTGCAGTTGTTGATCGTGGAATCGGGTTGCATTCCGGCCGGCTTACATTACAGGAGATTCAATTTCTCGATCGCGTACGTACTCCCAAACCCCACGAAGCCGAGCGCGGGACTGACTTGGTGCTCAGACAATGATCGGCGCTGAGATCCTGTACGTCAACGGCGTCAACATGTACAAGATCGCTCTTCTGTTCTTGTACCTGCGCATCTTCCCCATGCCTGAGGTCCGCAAAGGAGCATGGATATGCGGCAGCCTGACTTCCCTTTGGACCTTTGCCTGCGTTATCGCGGCATCGATCCAATGCCTTCCTCTGAACACGCTGTGGGAACCTTGGAAGCCGGGAACGTGTATCAACCTGTTCCTGACGCAGTTGTGCATCGCCGTCCCGAGTATTATCGTCGACATTGCGATTCTTTACCTGCCAATTCCTCACGTCCTCAAGCTGCAGATGAATCGGGCTCAGCGCATTCTGGTCTTGTTCACCTTCCTCTTGGGTAGCTATGTTGTTTTCACGAGTATCTACCGGTTCCGAATCTTCTTGTTGTACACCAAGGATGATGTGCCATGTAAGTATTCTCATCCGTGTCATTTGGCGTCGGCATACTAATATGTTGAAGATTCTCTCGCTCAAGGTCTGGCATGGAACATTATCGAGATCAGCAGTGGCATTGTTTCGGCCTGCTTGCCAACTTTGGTAAGTCATCGAAAGAGGCACTATCAAGACCGTACTAACAACGGCTCAGGGTCCAATTATCCGGGTACTATGGAAGGGTCTTCTCGAATCTGCTCATCGCAGCGGTCTCGACAAGTACGGCCGATCATCAGCAGCCAAAAAGTCAACAGGGAGGTCAGCGGGCATGACCATTGGTGGTGGACGATCTGGAACAGCCTCACACGCCAGGGCTGCGTCCAAGGACTGGTCCAAGATGCACGAATCGCAGGGAGACAAGCCCGGTCTGAGAGAAGAAGCCAAGTATGGCATCGGCCTCAAGACCATGGGTGGCGACGATGCCAGCAGCTCACACAGCTCACGCGGGTCAAACGAGATCGAACTCATGCCTCAGAGTACTGTCAGCGTTACGGTGAAGAGCCCGGGAAGGTCAACGTTCCCTCAGAACGAACAGCCGCTCACGGCGAGAGAGCATTATCACGGAACGAAGCTGTCGAAGCGCAAGGAGACGGGCTATCCTCATCACGACAACCGAATCTGGCAGCATCGTGAAGTCGAGGTTACGACGGAGCCTGTTGAGCCGGAGTCTGTGTTGTCAGAGTCCAACAGAAAGAGCTTCCGGAAGTCGACCGGATTATGAGATGGGAGACCCTCTTCAGCTGGTTGAGGACCCAATGAAATACCCTTTGTACAACTTTGTAATAGTAGTCATCAGTAATTACGCACAATTATTCAGATATTTGAAGCTTCAAGCTGTCGAAGATTGACTCTCAGCCACGGTGAAAACAATGCAGCTGATTCTGCTGGTGATGATTAGGTAGGCAAAGTCGGTCCCCTCGGCCTCCGCCCTTGGGAGGACCGTTCCCATCAGTCGGGATCCTGAGGTGGCCCGCGAAACTGGTTTGATATGATCCCTGCTGCCATTCCCGCCCCTCCAGCACCGAACGATTGCGGCCGCCCCTTACCCACGTGCCCAAGACCGGCCCATGCAGGGGAAATCTTTTGACGAGAACAGAGCAAGGGCTGCCCGGCCAGGACTTCCCCAGTCAGTTCTGTCTGGGAATTTTCACTGTGTTTGTCAGACATTTCACAGCAAACCCATGATTCCTTGGCATGTAACCCAGCGTTACAATTGCAACCTCTGCGATCGATCCTTCACGGCTGGAACCAATGTCGATCACCAACAGGCGTTTCTGCGGAAATTGAAATGGGACTCATAGATAACTGCAACTGTTTTGAGACTTATAACAAGGTATCTGGTGCTATGGGAGCTTCATAGGCAACGGGCGCTGTACAGGTGCTCGAATGTTCCTGACTCGCATTTTTCGTGCGTACTCGTCTCGATGGCTACCGAATCTCCTCCCGTGCATCTGAGTTGACACTTCTCACAGATACCGTTAGGCGAGTCGACAGGCTCAATGCAGTTGCAGTCTGTGCAGCAGCAGACGAACCTATGAGCCAAAGCTGATTCGCTGTGAACAAAAGTCATTGTGTGTAATGTCACGCTGTGGTGTGGTGCGGGATTTACTGGAATGAAGTTTCTTTTCAATTGAGCTTCATCTTCCTTAACTGAGGATCGATATTAGTTGAATTTATACCATGATAATTGATGGAAGTCGCCGGCGAATCACACAACAACGTTGTTGTAGTGAATGACAGCATGAAGCTATTCACAGCTCAAGCCACTGGAAATTGATGTGACTCAGGCTCCTTATGTACGAATCGGACTGAACTCAACATAGTCTATTTTCCGCGCTGATGTCTTGTTTACCTACAGGCACCCTTGCATTGCAGAGCCTTACGGGCTGGCATCCGCTCGCTCAGATTCTTCTCGTGCCTTCTTCAGATCCGCATACTCAGGAAGGTGTAGGACGGCGTAGATGTATGGGAAGGTCATCAGAATGAACAAAACCCAGATCGCATATCCCCACAGCCACTGAGTGCGTGCGCCAAGTGCGTACAGACTAGCAAAAAGAGCCGGAGAAAAGGCCCGGATGATGCTGAGCCCTGTCAATGACAGAGCGTTGAGGGTTCCCAGGACCTGAGGGCTAGGAGAAACATCGTTCAAGGCCAGCTGGACGCCGGTGAAACTCATAGCCACTCCACTGCCGATGGCCAGAAGTATCGGGGCAAACACCCAAAACAAGGTTATTGCAGTCGTGTTGTGGGCGCCGGCTTTG